GTTAAAATTGAGAATGGAAACGGGGAATGTGTCACAGAGACAACAAACCGATCAAAGAGCAAAAACAGCCCAAGGCCACCAATGGGTCTTTAACGCAGAGAGAAAATCCCGCATCCGGAGGCGTGCTTCGGCTAGCCCCTATACAATTATGCATACTAGTTCAGTGGAAATGAAAGCCAAAGTATACTCCGAAACATATAAATGAACCAAAAATAAAAACACACAAAAAAAGAGAAAGGCCAGGGGTTCCTGACTTGGGACAGATGCAAAAATGCGGCGGGGTTAAACGTGTTGGAGTGTTACAAATTCGTTGGAAGTACTTGACAAATTGCATGCTCAAATGTTGAGCGCTGAAAAGCAATTCAAAAAACGATGCATCAAGACATCTATGCCTAGAGGTATGAAAAATACTCTTTGAGTCTAAATTAATTCTAATACTGTTAAGTAAATGTTTGAAAAATCCTTGACTTTCATGTCCACCAGCCATAAATCTATGAAAGTGCACCCCAAAACACAATAAAACTATTGAGACAATCGTAGGCTCAGAATAAATTGTCTTCTGCTATAGATTAGCGTATACCATTTATGTCCAACTGAATAGGCCCGAGTCTAGTGAATAAACGTATGATACCTCTTGGGTTATGAGTAACTTTAAAATAAACTACTGAAGATCTGCCATAAATAATAAACCTCTATAAAGACTGTCATATATAGCACGTTCTCAATAGTAAGCCTCTATAAAGACTGTCGTGTATAGCACGTACTCAATAAATAGTAAACATCTATAAAGACTACGAAATAATTTAACACTTGCTATTATGTTGTCATGATTATAATTAGTTATCTATTGTAACTATTTATTTTATAGCCTTGTTCCTGCGTGTTTCTCTGTCAACATAAAATAAGATGTGATTTGATGGACAATAAAACACCTATCCACAAAAGAGCAAATGAAGTAGATGTAAAGAACTATATGTCTCCGTACGGCCTTTAGAAATGAGCAAAATCTTACCGTAAAAACAACGACAAAATGTAAAACAATTCAAACGAAAAAAATCAAAGGACTGAATAATGTACAAAACAATAAACGAAAAACGAAAAACAAATATGATAGACAACGACCAAGCGATAACCCTTTAATTACAGGTTCCTGACTTCGGACAGGCACATATAGAATGTGTCGGAGTTTGATTCCTGGTATCGGCATAAAGGATAAAAAAACAACTACCAAAAAGAGTAAAGACTCGAGATTGCTATCAAAGAGCTCCCCAGTAACTAAAAGCTAGTTCAACGCCCATTAAATGATTAAAATATCATACATCTTAGACTTAAATCAATCAGTACACATCCAATGGATTTAGTGTAAATACTTCAAACGATAGTGAGAAAAATATGGCTTTATGCCTTGCCACAATATAAGTATCGACAGGATGTAAAACCGTCAGTGTTCATATCTTTAAAGGAAAACATATCTATCTATCTTCTAATTTATTAATAGCTAAAATTTTAGTATTGATATGGAATTTAGATGAATCTTTACTGAGTTTGGCCATACAGGTAAATAAAAACCAAAAACACCAATAAACAAATTCGCCTTCGTCGGGTCTTGTTATTGATTTTAACGATGGGCAAACGTCCATCTCGTCACTGTTTAAGTTTTACTGATGTTTTGTTGGATGTTGTATTGTTGGCAGCTATCAAACAAAATGTATTTTAAGACAATAATGTCCCAGTATTTTTCATAAATGTCTTCTCAAGTCCACCTATCCAAGATGTCGCTGAAAATAACAAGCTGCAGATTAGTCATGTCAGCAATTTATGTAAACATCATAAATCATTTAATCTATATATGTTTAACACACCAGACTGATACAAAAAGGAAAACATGCTTTAGAAATAACACTTTTTTCTCTTTTGTTTTCTTTGTAAACATTTAGCGTGGGCTATCCATTTGAATTCCAGGATCTTATGCAACCTATTAAAGTTACCTATTTTAAAATTTTCCAAATCTGTTTGATCGAAGTTGATTACATAATACATTACATTCGTATATTTTATACTACACAAAACATGTTTCCTTATGTGTTTATTGATAAAAGTGTGAGAATTGCTTATTTTTCCGATTCTTCTAATGAGCCTCTCAAACTATATAAGTAAATCATCATATTTCTTTCTTTACTGTTATTCAACAATGCTTCGGTTGAAACACCATTGTTTACTTTTACTTCTTATTGCATTGGGTAAGTTCTTCTCATGTTCATTACTTAAATAACATCAGGTAATTTTATTCCAGGACTTTATCAAGGAGGTCAGGTATTTCTTTGTTTAACTGTTTTCTAATTATTGAAAAAATCTATATGATACTTTTGTTCAACAGCCTTATGAGATACGCTCGAAACCAAAGAAAGGAAACAAAAATAAAAGTTTTTTGGAGCAAATATACCAAAAGGGTATAGTAAAAAAACTGACAAAGATTACGTCATATAGTTGATTAATAGATGCCATTTTTTACAATCGTCCATTAGCTGCACCAAAATTACCAATAAAAAAAAATGAACAGTCCGCCATTTTAGACAAGTTGCTCCCATCCGCAGATAAGGCAGAACAGACTACGTGTTGTTGTAAATAATGTATTGGTCAACTAGAGCGTCCTTATAATACAACCATTCTATAACTTTCCATCAGTTTACATCCCTACTTTCGTAAAGAATTTTTAAAACAACGATAATTTTAGCACAGTGTATGTCAGGAATTGCTTAATATTCTTGAACACTTTTTTCACAGCAGATATTGGTGGGGTAGTGTTGCTCCATAATAAGTTTTCTATGTAGTGTTTTATGGACTGTTGTTTGTTTGGTTTTTTGTGGGTTTATTTTGCTATGGTATCAATATGTTTTCTTCCAAATCTTTTGTGTAGAGCGTATTTCTGTTATTCCCTAAACACGTGCGTGCACGAATACCGATATTATACGTTATTATTATGGAAAGCAAATCTATAACTAATACTAACATGCTAGTAATGTTTACAAAATGTAAACCTTGATGTTGAATACAATTTGGAAAGAATGTTGTTAACTACATAAAATTGAGAATGGAATGTATACTTGTTTGGTGTAATATCGAATATACAGATATTAAATTATTTGTAGTTGTAAAAAATTAAAGTACGTTTGTATAAATTTTAGGTTTGGAATGTCCTTTCTATTCAATTTATAAAAACATTTCAAAGAATTGCCAAAATATATATCAAATTGCAGTTTTGACCAGGTAAAACGTTATTAGAATTGACAAGATATTCAAAAACAGGACATGATATTGATACATATTTAAAGCATACTTGATTATGTGATAAAGAGAATTTCAGTTTTAATTCACTTTTAGTCCTTTTTGTTTATATCAGTCTCTAATGTTTGTTTTAAATTTTGGATTTTACGTAATTCGTTTTGAGTTATCGATTCCTTTATACAATATCTAATTTCAATGCAGATCACTTTATTGGTAGAGAAAACATAGTTACATGTCAATAGTGGATTGTTTTTTTCAACTATCGTCAAGTCCTCTGTAGGTAAATGCGTGAAAAGATACTTTAAATCAGAACATTTTAGGAGGTTGCCATGATAGGTTCTTTTTTACAATCTTAATAAACAAACAATGATTTACTATCGTAATAAATAAACAATGATTAACTTTTATAATAAATAAACAATGAAACACCTTTTGAAGCATTTAAGATACATTTTTGGTGGGAGGATGGTGGTGAATGGCAATCTTATGCTTGTAATCCTTTCTCCCTAGTTATCTAATTATACGAATAGAAATAGTGTTCTGTTGCGATATGACTAGTAAAAGCTGAATTATCACTTCACAAATTAGAGTTTCTAAAGAAGACTTCTTAACTCGCTTAAGGTAATAAAAAAAAACATACTCATAAGCTGACAAAAAGGATGCCCTTTCTTCCTGATTTAATCTACCATAGTAGTCATTCTCAAAATGTCTTCTTGGTGACTGGTTTTATTCGGGAATAATATTCCATCAGCAAAGACAATGATGCTATAATATATACATATGAAACCGATTTCGATGCGTTATGTGATATACATACGTAACTTCATGCGTGGAAACCTTCTCACCATAATAGATATACGCGAAAACTGGCATGCCAATACGGATATTGTTTTATTGAAATTTATCGTTAAAAAAAATTAAAAATACTTTTTTAATTAAGGAATAAATATTTCCTATTCCTTGTACGAGTTCGGTTATACTTCCAGTCCTTTCGGTTTATCACTTTTTTAATGTTGTATCATATTTTGGACCTTCAAATATTTTTGCATCGGCCATTACTGATGAAACTTTCAATGTTACCTAATAAATAAGACAATATCAATAGAGGAATAACATTAAAGGTAAAACGACAAATGGAGGGGAAAAGACACTTTACCTGCATTTTAACATAAAGATATCAGAGACCGACGCATCTCTTAAAAAATGGCGTTTACCAGTTTTCTTGTTGAAGGTCGGTGTCTCTCTGCACTTATTCCAGCTTTCTACACCAATATCAACTGACAATCATAAAGCCAATGTTGATGAAAGTGGCGTTATACACCCAAAAACTAACACACATGCATAGCAATCATTGCAATCCTGTGAATAAGACTGATATTTTAACATAAGTCAAACAAAACTGATACCAATTGTAAAGGTCAATAATTAAAAATAAGAATAAGGAACATATACCTTTCATTTAGCAAAAGGACATGGATATGATTACGGTTACGACGGTTATGGATATGGTAAAACAACGGATATTATAGTAAATAAAGGTCATGGATATGGTTACGGTTACGGCGGGTATGGAAATAGAGGACATGGATATGGTTATGGTTATGACTGTTATGGAAATGGTAAAACAAAAATTATAGTAAATAAAGGACATGGATATGGCTACGGTTACGACGGTTATGGAAATGGTAAAACAACAGATATCATAGTAAATAAAGGTCATGGATATGGTTACGACTACGGCGGTTATGGAAATGGTAAAGCAACGAATATTATAGTAAACAAAGGGCATGAATATGGTAACGGTTACGGCGGTTATGGAAATAGAGGACATGGATATGGTTACGGTTATGACGGTTATGGAAATGGTAAAACAACAGATATTATAGTAAATAAAGGTCATGGATATGGTTACGGTTACGACGGTTATGGAAATGGTAAAACAAAAATTATAGTAAATAAAGGACATGGATATGGTTACGGTTATGACGGTTATGAAAATGGTAAAACAACAGATATTATAGTAAATAAAGGTCATGGATATGGTTACGGTTACGACGGTTCTGGAAATGGTAAAACAAAAATTATAGTAAATAAAGGACATGGAGATGGTTACGGTTACGGCGGTTATGGAAATGGTAAAACAAAAATTATAGTAAATAAAGGACATGGATATGGTAACGGTTACGGCGGTTATAGAAATGGTAAAACAAAAATTATAGTAAATAAAGGACATGGATATGGTTACGGTTACGGCGGTTATGGAAATGGTAAAACAAAAATTATAGTAAATAAAGGACATGGATATGGCTACGGTTATGACGGTTATGGAAATGGTAAAACAACAGATATTATAGTAAATAAAGGTCATGGATATGGTTACGGTTACGACGGTTCTGGAAATGGTAAAACAAAAATTATAGTAAATAAAGGACATGGATATGGTTACGGTTACGGCGGTTATGGAAATGGTAAAACAAAAATTATAGTAAATAAAGGACATGGATATGGTAACGGTCACGGCGGTTATAGAAATGGTAAAACAAAAATTATAGTAAATAAAGGACATGGATATGGTTACGGTTACGGCGGTTATGGAAATGGTAAAACAAAAATTATAGTAAATAAAGGACATGGATATGGCTACGGTTATGACGGTTATGGAAATGGTAAAACAACAGATATTATAGTAAATAAAGGTCATGGATATGGTTACGGTTACGACGGTTCTGGAAATGGTAAAACAAAAATTATAGTAAATAAAGGACATGGATATGGTTACGGTTACGGCGGTTATGGAAATGGTAAAACAAAAATTATAGTAAATAAAGGACATGGATATGGTAACGGTTACGGCGGTTATGGAAATGGTAAAACAAAAATTATAGTAAATAAAGGACATGGATATGGTTACGGTTACGGCGGTTATGGAAATGGTAAAACAAAAATTATAGTAAATAAAGGACATGGATATGGTTACGGTTACGACGGTTATGGCAGTGGTAAAACAAAAATTATAGTAAATAAAGGACATGGATATGGTTACGGTTACGGCGGTTATGGAAATGGTAAAACAAAAATTATAGTAAATAAAGGGCATGGATATGGTTACGGTTACGACGGTTATGGAAGTGGTAAAACAACAGATATTATAGTAAATAAAGGACATGGATATGGTTACGGTTACGGCGGTTATGGAAATGGTAAAACAAAAATTATAGTAAATAAAGGACATGGATATGGTTACGGTAACGACGGTTATGGAAGTGGTAAAACAAAAATCATAGTAAATAAAGGACATGGATATGGTTACGGTTACGACGGTTATGGAAATGGTAAAACAACACATATTATAGTAAATAAAGGACATGGATATGGTTACGGTTACGACGGTTATGGAAATGGTAAAGCAACGAATATTATAGTAAACAAAGGGCATGGATATGGTTACGGTTACGGCGGTAATGGAAATAGAGGACATGGATATGGTTACGGTTATGACGGTTATGGAAATGGTAAAACAAAAATTATAGTTAATAAAGGACATGGATATGGTTACGGTTACGACGGTTATGGAAATGGTAAAACAACGAATATTATAGTAAATAAAGGTCATGGATATGGTTACGGTTACGATGGTTATGGAAATGGTAAAACAAAAATTATAGTAAATAAGGGACATGGATATGGTTACAGTTACGACGGTTATGGCAGTGGTAAAACAAAAATTATAGTAAATAAAGGACATGGATATGGTTACGGTTACGGTGGTTATGGAAATGGTAAAACAAAAATTATAGTAAATAAAGGGCATGGATATGGTAACGGTTACGACGGTTATGGAAGTGGTAAAACAAAAATCATAGTAAATAAAGGACATGGATATGGTTACGGTTACGACGGTTATGGAAATGGTAAAGCAACGAATATTATAGTAAACAAAGGGCATGGATATGGTTACGGTTACGGCGGTTATGGAAATAGAGGACATGGATATGGTTACGGTTATGACGGTTATGGAAATGGTAAAACCACAGATATTATAGTAAATAAAGGTCATGAATATGGTTACGGTTACGACGGTTATGGAAATGGTAAAACAAAAATTATAGTAAATAAAGGGCATGGATATGGTTACGGCTACGACGGTTATGGAAATGGTAAAACAAAAATTATAGTAAATAAAGGGCATGGATATGGTTACGCTTACGGCGGTAATGGAAATGGTAAAACAAAAATTATAGTAAACAAAGGACATGGATATGGTTACGATTACAGCGGTTAAATAAAGATAAAAGATACAGCGACAATGCATAAGACTTAGGTAAGAACAAAGGTTACAACTCCTCAGGTAAGGTTCACGTAAACAGGATTTGGACGGTTCTGTTGGGACTTTATTGTCTTCAATGCTTTTTACCATTTTTTTCAAGTATATCAGAATCATTTTACGTAAATTTTCATAGACATCTTTCTTACCTAATAAGGTATTCAAATAAAATTTTCCAGATTTCCTCGATTTTTTCGTTAAAAGTAGAAATTTCCCATTTCCGCATTGAACAGATAAGCGAAGCTCCAAGTTTTAGATGGGCATACTGATGCTCAATATTTTTTTTTCTCTGAGTAACTTTTGTGCATTTTTTAAGAGTAGAAGGGAGGAGGGGTCGCCTTATGTATTTTGACCAAGACATTGTCTGTACTCTTACTAGTATTTCTATAACCCCTTTGGAGCATCGTCTTTTTTTGGATTTTATATGCTCAAATGGATCAAAATATATTAATATTATATTGTTCCTTGTGATTATCAAATATTTTTCTGTCAATATCGCACAAACACAAGCACTCGTATTTGCAATTTGTTTCCTGGCATAGACAGCTCTTAAGATAAAAGGCAAAGACAAACTATTTCATAAATTATGTTGAGGAGTAAAACTTGCAAATTTATGAAGAAAATGTCTCGAAAAGTATTAAATGATAAAAGTAGAAAACGTAAACGGAAGGTAACACGATTTGATATGATTGATTTATGTTTAACGCCACTTTAAGCACTATTGTGCTATTTCGTAGCAGTCAGATTTTATTGGTGGAAGAAGCTGAAGTGCCCGGAGAAAACTACTGACCTTCGTTTGGAAAACTGAAATCCTAGTCAAATAAGATTGGAGTCGAGCGCACCTGCCACGTGCGGGATTCGAACTCACAACCCCCAGTGTTGACAGGCTAATGAAACCGTAGTTCGACTACTTTTCTCTTGATAAAATAAAATTATATTCAAATATGTACAATAAAAATTCACCAGACAGTCAACTTCTTAGACCACTCGGCCACTGATGCCCCCCCCCCCCCCCCTGATGAATGAAAAACGAGACAAGGTCACTTATCATCAATGAATCTTATTTCCTATAAAGATAGATCGTATACAGTAAATAAAGTAAAATCGAACATCGTCACAGTTTGTTATAAAACATATTTACTATTTAAGAAAACGAGAGCATTTTCGTCATTTGTGATACTCCATGAGGTGAGTCATTTCCCTGTTTATCACAAATGAATTAATTACAAAAGCAAAAATAGAAACAAAAGAAAAAACACCAAATGGGAAAAATAAATCAAACAAAAGCATTTCCCACGTTTGATGAAAGATACATCTAACTGGATAAGAAGTCATATTATCAAAATGGGGGATAAGTTAAAGTATAGGTCATGGATTCGTCTTTCCGTTTTGAATTTCCTTTAGAGTTCGGTATTTTTGTTATTCTAATTTTTTCATAAGCTTCATAAAATGAGAAAGATGATAAGAATAGAGCAATGGAAAACCATCAATCATCATCAAACTAAATATCATATCGATACCGAAGCTCTGAAATTCGTTTCCTGATCGATGTAACATTTTTATACTAAACAAACTTCATGGCTTTTAACTCAAATGTAAATGTTTTCTTTATCGTTCGTCGATTCTACCCTTTCTTTCATGTTTATGAATAATTTGTTGCTTCAAAGTGCAAGTTAGAGTGAATGCTCTATCGAAAAGGTTTATTAAATGTGCATTATTAATCCCAAAATTCTCTTTGCCATGATCAATGTTCAATTGTCGCTGTTGGTTATTTGTTACTTGCCATTAAATGTGAAATTGATCTTAGTTATTGAAAGTATTAAATCATTACAATAGCATATTGATCTTGTTATATTTGAAACTCTATGATTTTTACTCTAAAAGGGTAGGAGAGGACATGACCTGCACATATGTTTTATATCTAATTAACATTCATACAACGAATATAAAAGAGGAATATATGTAAAGATTTCTGAACTTTCTTTTTCAGGTTGAACTAGAATGTACTGGCTATAAAGACCTTTTTTATTGCTGCTTCTAATAAAAAATTTCTTCAAAGCATCTTACAAACAGATATTGTTCTTTACTTGAAACATATGTATATTAAGTGTGAAAATGGAGATGTTTACTTTTACAAATTGGAGAGTTGTCTCATTGGCACTCATACGACATCTTCTTATATCTTTGTTAGAAAATTCACAGCTGTTTTCTTTAAATGAGAAAAAATAAAAAAAACTTTTACAACTTCCTATTGATTTTTAAAATTAGTACTTATTGTCTTAATTCATGGGGCTGTATCACTCACATCAGCTCTCCATACATTTGAATATCACGTCTTTGTAACGTCAAACATGAATTACTCAATCTTCATAATCTGACTTATTAACGACGGCATTTTTTTTTAAACCGACTTTTTAAGTTTGACTCGAACTTATCAAGTTATCATCCAGTTTGCTATTAAAACAAATAAAATCATTACTTCTATCATGAACAAAACAAATATACAATCGTATAAATGAATTCTCTAGGTTTTCGTCATATTTATATTGAAAAAATATCAGCTGCTCAAGACCATTATATAAAGCTTTATTAAGCTCGTTTGCTGTGCTCACTCGACAAAAACTTCATAGTGTTACTCGTAGCTGAATTATAACCCTAATAATAGGTTCTTATAAATATTCATGAGAATTCACTTCGATATATACGTTTTAAATCGAATTAAAATCGCATATCAGTCCAATCACTGACAGAATATTCCATAAAATACTACGCAAAATATACATATATATATTCCGCAAATTTACAGATGTAACATTGTTGGGCTGTTGTTATTTACTAAAGTCACTTTACAATCTCCGTAAATCGATGTCTAGGAAAAAGAAACCAGAGGAAAAAAGAATAGAAAAAAATATGAATCGATCGAGACCTTCGACATAAGATTATAATATTACATCAGGTCAGGATCGAGTGTTCGAGCCAAATTTTTAAAACATCACATGTAATCAAAACAGCAACTGACAATTTCATAATCAATGAACATTTGACATTTGAGCGAAATAAAAAGGATGTCTGAGCAAACAAAAAAGTGTAAATTTCAGCTAGACTTTTTCACCATTTGAGTGAAATTTTAAATTGATGTGCCTTTATGAGCGAAAGATGTTTTAAACCATTTGAGCGTAGATAGATGATTGTGAATAGTATACAAAAAAAATTCTTTTTATATCCAAACTTGCGTCTGTTGAGGACCTTTTGAAACCTTTACTATTTTCATTATGCATCCAAAATCGTCCAAAACCTTTTATTTCATCTTCACGCGAAGATCATGTCAATCGTTGTTTATTCTTACAACGATCTTAAAGATGGAATCATGGTCTTCAAATTTGCATCACTTTGAAGGACATCTCAAGGGTAATTCTTCTGACTTTAACAGTAACGTCGTATTGTAAAATTCATATTTGAACAATTTCTTCATTTTGATGATATTTTGGTATCAAAATTCTTGCATCAGATGTTCAAATCACATATCTTCTTAAAGACTTTATATTATTTAAACTGAAAAATGTAAATCTTAGCTGAATATGACTTTCTATTTAAGATATTAGTTTAGCGGTAGATTTTTTTTAAAGATTATCAATTAGCTCCTATAATAATTTACTTCGGAGACTTTTCACCTGTTAAAGTGTTTGCTTATTTGATTGGTGAAATATGTTATTATATATTACCGATTTACTTTGAAACTTCAATTGGAAAACCCGTTTGAAAATGAAAGGACTCGTATAATTAAAGAATAAGATGACAATTACCGTTTGTGTGTATAAACATTCATTTGTATATGTTGTAACTTATTGTGTTTTTGGATTGGTTATCATTTGAGTAGTTTATTAAAATCTACTACTAATCTCTCCATGTTGCAAAAGCTGCAATACGTTAATTCATAAAAAATTACTATATGACAGTTGTATGAACGTTTTCTAGGGGTTTTACACCTCGCACAAATTATTTCCAGTGTTGTATGGATGTTATTTAAGGGTTTTTCAACTCGCACAAATCATTTCCAGTGTTGTATAAACGTTATCTAGGGGATTAACACCTCGCACAAATTATTTCTAGTGTTGTATGAACGTTATCTAGGGTTTTTGCACCTCACTCAAATCATTTCGGGCGTTGTATGAACATTATCAAGTAGCCATGAACCTCGACCTACTCTGCCCTGGTGTAACATGAAAGTTTTTTAGTGGTCATTCCCCTCGAATAATTAGTATTAGTACTGTATGAACGTCATATAATGGTCATACACCTCGATAAACTCAGTACCAGTGGTGTATAACATTATTTATGAGTCATATACATATTTACCATGCACAACTGTGTATCAGTTATCTTTGGGTAAAAAAACTCATAAGAACTCAGTATCATTGGTGTATGAATGACATTTAGGGGTCATACACCGCAAACAATTCGGTACAATTAGAAAAGGGAACTTTATGTAGGGTCATAAATAGGGCAAAACTCAGTACCAGTGGTGTATAAATTTTATCCACGGGTCATACACCAAATAAATCAGTAACAGTTCTACAACACCCTTTTATTGGGGTCACACACAAATAACAAATCAGTCCTAGGGCTGTATAAATATTTTAAAGTGGTCATATACCTTGTACAACTCAGACTAGTGTTGAATAAACATTGTTTACAGTCATTTATCTCCAACAACTCAGTTAATGGACGTATTCTAGGGGTCAAACACCTTACACAACTCTGTACCAGTGTTATATGAACTTTATCTAGGGGCAATACACCTCGAACATTTCAGTACCAGTATTATATAGAGAATAATATATATACAGTAAAATCCGTATCACATGTTGTACCAGCCCGAGTAACGAATATCAGCCAGAGGGACGAAGGCCCAAGAACTGATATTGGTCGAGTTGATACATCATGCAATACGGATTTTGCCATGTATTAATCACTTTATCATATATTCAAACAGAGGACTTTATTTTTCTAAATTGAGGTCTCGATCAAAATATTAAATTATATTTTGTTTCACTTTTTGGACAAGCAGAAAAATATTCTGGCCCTGGTCTACTTAGTAAGTGAAAATAAGTAATGTGGTCGCCTTCAAGTTGGAAATCAGCATTCTGACAATATCGAATTTGCTAGTCCTTCCCTAAGAATTAAATGATTGTCCCCTAAATTATTTCATGTTATGAATCATTTGGTTTGACTGACCCCAAAAAATACATAAAATTGCCAAATCGAAAACATGTATTTAGTTCTAAGAAACCCTACACCAGTATCAGATCATTGTGGCCACACAATTAGTTGTAAATAATAAGGTCTGAAAGCTCAACAGTAGAATATAAAAATGGGTAGCTTTATGAGGCACCGATTGTCTAGGTGGTGATTCGTCTTGATACCGAACTGTCTTTCTTGAGTACCGAAATGTTTTCACGGATGCCGAATTGTCCTGGCGCCTATTTGTCTCAGTACCAAAGTGTCTAGAATTCGTCAATGTTATGCCGTAGTCCGCGGACAGAGGAAATGAAAGGGGAACCTCATTTTCCTCACTCTGAGATGACCAGTCTTTGTTCTTTGTTTTAAATTTTACAAACACATTCAGAAAAACGATGTTCGATATGAACAAATTTCAGGCATGGCTGAAGTAAATTCTGTTTTTCTCCCATTTCCACTGTTTTCGGACTGCAATTTAAACCTCTTGTTGTCGCTTATTAAATGTGGTTACATGTACATTCATATCATGCCAGGAAATACCACAACTGTACGTCATATGTCCAACTTTGACGTCATTCGATATATGACGTCACGCCTTGATGACGTTACATTGGAGACCTATTGAAGAAAAAGATTTTACTTTATTCTTTGGTGTTTTATTTAAAAGAGATGCGGTAATGAACAAGTGCTTGCATAAATTAAATATATGAACACGTGTGTCCCTCCGGTAGCAAGAGGGTTAACATGTCCTTCCTTGTCATCTTCTGAAATCTCAAGCGGATAACAACTGAGGAGTTCAGAAAACTGTCTCGAGATGTTCCGAGAGGGGTGCAGTACGGGGTATGCGATTCGGGATATGCGATACAGGGTAGATGATACAGACTGGAGAAAAGAACCTTTATTAAATATACAAAATTTCTGTATTCAGTACTAAATATATGATAAATGAACGTTATATTATTAGTTATACAGTGTGCTAGTGACTTAATACGATAATTATTGACCCCGTATATATCGTTTCGGGTCATTAGCACACTCTGTCAGGAATTCATCTTACCGACTATCTTGATATGTGGAATACCGACTAGTGGCCTATTAAAATGATCAAGTTTTCAATATAAAGAACCTACTTTCATTGGTCTATATAAAAACAAATACCAACAATAACAAAATGTTAGCCTTTAATCTTCTGACGAAACGCGCGTCATCGTATCAAATTATAAGCCTGGTATTTTTGATAACTATTTACACCACTGGGTCGATGCCACTGCTGGTGGACGTTTCGTCCCCGAGGGTATCACCAGCCCAGTAGTCAGCACTTCGGTGTTAACATGAATATCAATTATGTGGTCATTTTTATAAATTAAGTGTTTGCAAAAGTATGAATTTTTCGAAATACTAAGGATTTTCTATCCCAAGCATAGATTACCTTAGCCGTATTTGGCACAATTTTTTGGAATTTTGGTCTTCAATGCTCTTCAACTTTATACTTGTTTGGCTTTCTGTTTATTTTGATTTGAGCGTCACTGATGAGTCATATGTAGACGAAACACGCGTCTGGCGTATCCAATTATAAGCCACACCTTTGATACCTATTAATAGGCAAAACGTTTTAGATTTTTCTTCAACGTCATATTGTTGTTATAAAGGAACGTAGCACTGGTACTAACCGTGTATTAAAATACTAACCCAATATTAAATAAACAGGGTCTCTACATGATCGCTTTAAACCAATGATATTCCTATATATGTATAGGAGGTAGGATAAAGAGATCATAAACCTCCAACATCTCAGTACCAGTGTTATTGAATGTTATCTAGGGGTTAAACAC